CAAGTCACCGATGGTCCCCCAGACCTGCTGCTTGAGTCCCAGTGGCACCACTATTCAGGTAGGGACCGGCCTTGCCCTCTCTCTCGCTCCTTGCCTGTGCTTGGCTCAGCTGGGTGACTCACAGATGCAGAATCAGTCTGCTTTGAAAACCAGTATCTACTCCTGGGGGCCAAGCCTGAGCCTCAGTGCTAGAGTTAGAGATGACCTTTGGGAGTCTCTGGCCTTGTGGGAGAAACAGACATGGACATGATATTTAAGCTCTGTGGGATCCTCTTAAAGGTCTTTGTCCAGCATGCCCAAGAGCCCGGGGGGGCCTCAGAGCCTAGCCTGCCAAGGGCTGAGAGTTAGCTTCGTAGAGTAGCCAAAGGTGAAGTTCTAGGATCATCCAGAGAGAATGCAACCCACCTAGCACCCAGATGATGGTCAGGGACAGTGGGAAGATCAGAAGACTGGTGTCCCAGAGGCCTGGGGAAAGGAGTCATCACATCTCAGCTGCCACAGAGACTGCCAGGCCTGTGGAGTCTAGGGTTGGTGTCCAGTGAGAGCAGGTGACACAGGGTGGGATGTTGTGTCAGAGTCCAGAATTGAGACCATGGTTGAGGAAGGCAAAACAGCCCAGGCACCTGGCCAGAGTTCAGCTAAGGATGGTGAGTGGGAGGTGGGCCAGTAGCGTGGAGGTGCTTGGTGTGAGGGCCGAGACAGCGGAGGCATGGATGGCGGGGAAGGGCAGGCTGGGATGGAAAAGCCAGTGGGAAGAGGCCTGGTGGCCGGTTTTGAATTGGTGACCTCTGAGGTAAAGGAGAGGAGGGGAAGCAGGTGTTTATGCAGAAACTGTAATAGGTAGAGGTGGAGACCCCTGGAGAAGACGTGGCTGGTAGACTGCTTGAAGCTGGGGGCAGTTTTCTGTTGGTCCTTTAGGGCAGTGGTGGGGGGAATGGCTGCGGCCAGGTAAGCTGGTGGTCAAGCAGCCTGAGGCTGGGATTTTGTGGTGGCCCAATCCTGTCCAGATGTTTGGATTTTCTCGTGACACAGAGCTCAGTTGCTGAGCGGGAAGCAGAGTGACGTGGATTGAGACTGCTTAACTCAGAGGCTGCTTATGTCTCAAAGATGACATGAGAATATGGCAGTGGCCTTGGGAGGTCCCTGTCCTCAGGGACCAGACCACATTTTGGTGCAGGACACAGACACGTTAGCAAGGGCAGGTTGGAGTGGGCACTGAGAAAGCGAGCAGTGAGAGCACCTGCCAGGGTCCCGTGGTCAGTCCTGCCGTGTTCGGGAAACTGGAGGTGAGGGTTGGGGGACAGGGGAAGAAGTTGTCAGAGGTGGACTCTGGGGCACTGAGGCCTGGAAAGGACGGGAGTTACACGGCAGGAGTGTTGCTTTAGAGTCTCCCTTGGGGCGGGGGAGGTGGGGCAGGGTGGCCTGGAGAGGTGACATCGGGAGAGTGTGGCCATGTGGGTTTTGCCTCTCCTAAAGCCTGTTCCACTCAAGCTTTTGTGCCCCCAACTCCCAGTGGTCAGTCCCCAGCCCACATCTGCTTGAGCAGCAGCAGCGTTTTGTACAGCGGATCCCTCCCACCTTGAAGCATTGTCTTCCGTGGCTTCCAAGGCTGCTTCTGCTCTCACCTCTGGTCCTGCCTCCTTGCCCACGGCTGTCAGTCAAGATGTGTGCGGGGGCCCTGGCCTTGACTTCTCTGTGTGCTCACTCCCAGGGGCTCCCTTCCAGCTTGGTGGCTGTACTGTCTGTGTTCTGATTGTCTCCACATTGCTCTCTCCAGCCTAGACCCTGTCCCTGAACTGTGGCCTCCTCCATCCCGTCCTGCTGCCTGCCTACCATCTCCACCAGCAGGTTGCAGGGGGAGGTTTCTAAGAGGCCTCTCAAAGTCAGCCTGTCCCAAACTGAGCCCTCCACCTGCACGCCAAACCCATTCTTCTTTCACCTTCGCTATCAGTCCATGGCAGTTTTATCCTTCCAGGTGTTCAGGCCCAGCGTTGTCCTGACCCCCAACCCGCTTCTTCACATCCACATCTACTACGTCAGCATGTCCCATCTGCCCTGTTTAATCTGTTAACCCTCGAGAAATCCACGAAATAGCTCATAACATACAGTGTACTTGGCTCTGTGCATGTGAGCCTATATAATAATATATTTGTAGCTGGGCGCAGTGGCTCACGCCTATAATCCCAGCAGTTTGGGAGGCCAAGGCAGGTAGATCACCTGAGGTCAGCCTGGCCAACATGGTGAAACCCCGTCTATACTAAAAATACAAAAATTAGCCAGGTGTGGTGGTGGGCGCCTGTAATCTTAGCTACTCAGGAGGCTGAGGCATGAGAATTGCTTGAATCTGAGAGGCAGAGGTTGCAGTGAGCCGAGATCGCGCCATTGCATTCTAGCCTGGGCGACAGAACGAGACTGTCTCAAAAAATGATAATTACATATTTGCAATAGTTACAGAAATTTGCTGCATCTAAAAAAAGACGTGCAAAATATAATTCTCTGGTATTTTAAATTTTGTGTGAGAAACAGAATGATGGGTAGATGGGATGTGTGGGACACTGGGTTTAAGTGAGCCCTAGGCGTGTCCTGCCAAAAGGCCCCAAGCCTCCGTGGAACGCTCTTGTACCTGAGAAGTCCTGCAGAAGAGGAGCCACAGGCTCCTTAGGGAAAGAAATGTTCATTCTGCAGCGCACACTGGGTAATTGGAGCAGAAGGAGGGCCATTAGACCCTAGTATCTGTGTCTGCGCCTAGGGGTGGAGAGAGTGGTGTCTGCTGGGAGCACAGCGGGGCTCAGGGGCTTTTGAGTCCAGGAAAGGTGATCTTCACTCCAGCCTGCTTCTTGGGACCAGGTGAGGCTTCAAGCTCTGAGGAAGAGCCTCCATCCCCAGATGATAAAGAGAACCAGGCCCCGAAACGGACTGGCCCACATCTGCGCTTCGAGATCAGCAGTGAGGATGGCTTCAGCGTGGAGGCAGAGAGCTTGGAGGGTGAGTTTGGGGGGTGCAGTGGCAGGAGGGAGAGTGTCCATAAAACACCATCCTGACTCAGCCCTGGCTCTGCTGTCTCCCCAGGGGCGTGGAGAACTCTGATCGAGAAAGTGCAAGAGGCCCGAGGACATGCCCGACTCAGACATCTCTCCTTTAGTGGTAAGGAGTGGGCCCCGCAGGGGGCTGGGGGCTGGATGTCTCCCTGAGGGCACCATGGGCCCTCCACATGACAGGTATGTCCTCAACATCTCCTCTTAGGAATGAGTGGGGCGAGACTCCTGGGCATCCACCATGATGCTGTCATCTTCCTGGCCGAGCAGCTTCCCGGAGCCCAGCGTTGCCAGCACTATAAGTTCCGTTACCACCAGCAGGGAGAGGGCCAGGAGGAGCCGCCCCTGAATCCCCATGGGGCTGCTCGGGCAGAGGTCTATCTCCGGTGAGAGGTCTAGGGTGTGATGCCTGGGTCAGGATGCTCCTATGAGAGCTCTTGAGGGTGGGAGTTAACTGTGTAGTTACATATTTATATACTGTATATATACTATATATTTATATATATATGTGGAGGTTGGAAACAGGCCTGGGGAGGAGACACTGGGTCACTTCAAGAGTTATTTCTAGAGTTGGCCATGCTCAGTGGCTCACGCCTGTAATCCCACCACTTTGGGAGGCTGAGGCAGGAGGATCACACGAGCCCAGGGTTCGAGACCAGCGTGGGCAACATGGCAAAACAGCATCTGTAAAATAAAAATTTAAAGAAGAGTTATTTCTAGAGCTGACATAAGAACGAACCCCACCCATTTCCGATAGCCCTGTCTTCAATAGTATATTCCTCCTTCCCCTGCTCCCACCTGCAGGAAGTGCACCTTTGACATGTTCAACTTCCTGGCCTCCCAGCACCGGGTGCTCCCTGAGGGGGCCACCTGTGACGAGGAAGAGGATGAGGTGCAGCTCAGGTCAACCAGGTATGGAGTGTGAGCTGGGGGGCAGGTGGTGGTCTGGAAGGGTCTTAGAGAGCACGGGTGAGAGAGGTCTTTCTGAGCACCAGCCTGGGTGACCCTGCTGTCCCTCACCAGACGTGCCACCAGCCTGGAGCTGCCCATGGCCATGCGCTTTCGTCACCTTAAGAAGACGTCCAAAGAAGCTGTGGGTGTCTACAGGTGAGTGGGGTTGGGGGGGAGGATGCCCCTTGGGTGGACGGACAGGTGCACTGGGTAGGGGGTACCGCCTGGTTTCTGTCCCCCTGCCCCCTGAGTTCCCTGTTTGTCCTGCCCTGCAGATCAGCCATCCACGGGCGAGGCCTGTTCTGTAAGCGCAACATCGATGCAGGGGAGATGGTCATCGAGTACTCCGGCATCGTCATCCGCTCCGTGCTGACTGACAAGCGGGAGAAGTTCTACGATGGGAAGGTGGGCTCCCAGTGGCCGTGGGAAGACAGTGGGTGAAGCGAGCCTGTCCACAGGGACAGAGCACCTGATCTTCCCACCTCATCCCCGCAGGGCATCGGGTGCTATATGTTCCGCATGGATGACTTTGATGTAGTGGACGCCACGATGCATGGCAATGCCGCCCGCTTCATCAACCACTCTTGTGAGCCCAACTGCTTCTCTCGGGTCATCCATGTGGAGGGCCAGAAACACATTGTCATCTTCGCCCTGCGCCGCATCCTGCGTGGTGAGGAGCTCACCTACGACTACAAGTTCCCCATCGAGGATGCCAGCAACAAGCTGCCCTGCAACTGTGGCGCCAAGCGCTGCCGTCGGTTCCTTAACTGAGGCCGTGGTTGCCCACCACGACCCCTCACACCTCCTGCTGCCATCGCTGCCATCTTGCCCCTAGCCTGGGGGCCCCCCAGCCCCTCCCAGAGCATCTCACCCCCATCCTCATGTTCAGGGTGGATGTGGGCATGCAGGCGACAAGGGCCCTGCCTCCACCCCTCCAGCCCACCCAGCAATCGCCCCCTTTCTGCCCTGGGGGCCCAGGATGTAGATATTGTACAAAAGTTTCTAAATCCCTTCTTTTCTATGCACTTTTTTATTTAAGAGGTGGGGTCCCAGGTGGGAACCCCCCCACAATAAAGTCTGTCAATGTTTGGAGAGGTGGTCTTCCCATTTGTAGGGTATGGGGGCAGGTAGGAACCCCACTTCTACACACCCATCCATCATAAGCCAAGGAAGTTCATCAGCCTCAACAGATAGGTGAGGCCATCATTGAGAATTAGAAGTCAGTCGTGGGGTCTGTTACGGCTTCAGAACAACACAGAACACAGTGTCTGTAGCAGGGTTGTTGCCCAGAGGGGATTCTGGTGGCCCAGAGGCACCTGGGGTCAGCCCTCCCACATGTGGCCCTGTATGTATGTTAGAATAGGCCCTTCTAGGGCAAAGAGCAGTGAGGATAGCTGTTGGGTCTTTGCCTAATTAGGATTGTACTTCAAGAAGTACTTCAATGCTAATTGTATACTGGGCTTAGTAGTCAACAAAGTTCTTTATTGAATGTTAAGCCCAACAAACCCCAGATCAGCCAAGCTTGGACAGCACCCGCAATGCATCTGCCCGCCCTAGCTGGGCGAGGTGTGTGCCAAGCTGGCCCAGAGAGGCAGAGGGCTCCCTTGCCACCACCATCTCAATCAGAGCCCGCAGCGGCGAGCGACTCGGCCGCAGCGAATAGGCAAAGGTGGACCAGGCGGCAGGCAGCCCATATCTCGCGGCCAGGTGTCGAGTAGTGCCATGGGCCATGCCCCCACCTGGCCCAGGCTCAGGGTCCAGCAGTACAATCAGCTCTTCCAGCACCTCCAGCTCATCCAGGAGGCGAGACAGGGGTTGTGACCCCAGACCGGGCAGTTCTGGAAGAAAGGGGAAGGGTAAAGGGGAGGAAGGGTGGGCGTCCAGTCCACCTTCCCCGCCCCGGGGCTCCTCCAGGACTAACCCCTGCTCAGGAGTGGAAGTAGAGAGGCCTTCCATGTGTCCCCTGTCTCCAGGGCGCCTGGGGAGGACAGATGCGAGGAGGAAGGGGCGTGGGTGTTGGTGACTCCGCAGACCAAGCCAGGATAGGGATAGGGGTCGGCCTTCTCCTTGGGCCGGCAGAGGTGCCAGAGCAGAATGAATAGGAGGATCGCTATCACCGCCAAGGTCAGGAGCAGGACCAGCACCAACAGCGGGAGGAAAGTCGGCAAGGCCTGCTGAGGGATGGGCTCAGGGGTCCTCCAGGCAATGGAACTTGCTGGTGAGCTGCGCTCCTGGGAGCTAGGGCCGCCTGGGTTTTCAGTTGTGAGGGGGCAGGGCCTCTTGGCAGGGACCGGCCTCTGGGGATAAGGGGTTGGAGTAAAGCTGGAGGCCACACTCCACTCCTGCCCGCTCCCAAACCTTCCATCTTTATACCCTTTAACGGGGCCACATCCCATCTGATACGGTACCTGATAAGGTAGTTGGGCCCCGCAAGGCCCAACTACCTTAACCTAGGAGCTCCCGACCCCTGCAGGCCAGTCACCTCCCGAAACCACGGCCCCACCCCTTACGTGGGGCTACGCCCGCTCCCTACATCTAGGCCCCCCACCTCCGGCACGCCCTTGCCCGGCCGGGAGTCCCATCCGCACCTCTCTGCAGCGCCTCAGGGTTCTGCCCCCGCCCGCGGCGGGAGTAGGGGTCACGGCTCCGCCGCCGCAGGGGCTACATAGCTCCGCACTGTCGGGGTTGCACTGCCCAGAAGAACACTCTCGGAACGGGAGCGTTACGAAATCGCCGTGGTCATTGAGCCCGCAGTTTTCCCGGAACTCATAGTCTAGCGGGAAAGCTGGTCTCCAGCGCTGCCGTCTAGCCCGCCCCTGCTCAGGCAACGCCCTCTCCCTTCGCCCTATCCCAGCGTGCCCAGCCCCTCCAGGGCGCTCCCAGCCTATCAGCGTGCGCTCCGCTCCTGTCACTTTTCTCCGGGCTCGCCTTTTCATTCCCCGCCTGCTCGGCTCCGAGCTCCGCCCACTCCCGATTTATCTACATAAAGCCCACCCTTTCCACCGGGCCCCTATCGCCACTCCAGCCATATCCCTTCGCTGTTGCCCTACGGTAGCCCGCACTGTCTGCACAGGCTCTGCCTGCCATCCCTGTGTGATCTACATAAGGCCCACCGCTTAGACCCCTAAGCAAGACTCTCTGGCCCGTAGCCCACAGACCTCACCCCTTCCCCGCTCCCTATCACCTGCAAGCTCCGCCCAAGCAAGGCTGGGTCTCGGATTCTCACCCGGGCAGGGGGGCGGCCCGAAGCGCTGCAGGCAGCTGCTGCAGCACTTGTTGTCTGGGTTCCAGTATTCAAGGCGGCCGCAGTACTGGGAGGCTTCCGGCAGTGACGCCAGAGCCAGAAGCAGCAAGGCTGTCAGGAGGCATCGTCCAGGCCCCATCTCGGGGGCCGTGATAGCGGAACCTCCAAACACAGCGCCTCTGCCACACTTTCCGGGGAAACCGGGCAGAAGAAAGGACGCGGTGATGTGGGGGAACAGAATTCCCACGCCTCTTCGGAAGCCGGGAATCTACCCTCGAGTCCCCATCCCCCAACTGAGCCGGTTATCAGAGAAGCCCACAAAGCCAAAAGGGGACTGAGAGAGAGCACTGCGGATCTAGATTGTAAGAATGCATATCCCACCTCTGCCATTTCCTCACCCACCCACCTTCCCTTTTCCATCCCTAAAATGAGACAATAATAGCACCTGTCTCATAGGGTTATTGTGGAGAATTAGAACCGTTATTAGAAGTAAAGCAGGGGCTGGGTGCGGTGGCTCATGCCTGTAATCCCAACACTTCAGGAGGCCAAGACAGGAGGACCACTTGAGCCCAGGAGTTCGAGAGATCAGCCTGGACAACAAAATGAAACCCCGTCTCTACAAAAAA